TTGTATCAGTCCGAGCAGAACTTCCAGTTTTACTGGACGTTAAACATTCTCTATGGGAGTTTCTATGTTAAATTGGAATCGGCCGTGGCACATTTTTTCTTTAAATAGTCAAGATATTTTTATAATATTTTTAATTCAAATTGACTTTGATACTGTTCCGACCTCATTAGATTACCAGAATGAAATTCGGAAAAGTAAGGGATTTTTAAGGGGCCAAAATTAAAAACAGACCTCTGCCCGTAACATTTTTATTTCTTAACGAATTTTCAAATACTTTTCAGATTTGAGTTCAGCATAAAGAGTTAAGTTTAAAAATTGTGGGCCGTGGGGTCACTTTTTGACTCCTTATAGGGGTTTCAGAGACCTGAAAAACAGTACTTTTGGAGTTTTCTTGATTTTACCGCGTAATTAGAGTTATCGTTCTTTGATCGGTTGGCGAGCGTAGAAAGCGAAAGTAAGGTTTGGTCCTGCTAGCTGCGTAGCTATTCTTTTTCAACAAGCGCTCTGCTAGACTGGCAATGTATCCCATAATGCTTCCTTTCATTTTGCTGCATCGGATATCACAACAAACATGAGAGATCTCACTGTTTTAAGATATTTGACCGGGACTTTAGTACGAAACTAAAGTCGATGCTACCTGAAATGCGTAGAACTGAAATACGGGCGTGGATCCTGGAGGGTTTCGTAGACGGACTTTTATAAATTAAAGCCAAATTATGTCCAATTATATTAGCAGCAGGTACAGGGGGAAAACGTGAATCTTATTTCATGATCAGTAAAAGCACATTTTACAAAATGAATTGATTATAAATAAAATTGAAATAAATTTGATGTTTGAAAAAGAAGATGAATATCTGAAAGGAAATTAAGTAATTATAATCAGAGAAGCCAATGACGTCAAAGATCGATATATATATAAAGATATTCTTGATAAAACGTATAATTTGTTTTCCCGATAATCAGTAAAGGAATTTTAGGCACTTCTGAATTTCTTTTACTTAATGTGTTTTTTTTTAGCCGATAAAATGTATATCTTTTAGGTAAATGAAACAATGACCACTAAACTTTCCAGAAAGTTTCTATGGAGTCTCTAGTAAAGTATTCTGAAAAATTTGTGTTAATACGATGTCTGGTTTAGAGTTTAGATAAAAAATCTACGTTGTCGTTGCGCAGGGAAAAAAGGGGAGAGGAACGTAAAGAAAATAGATATTACACAAATCCTAGCTTACTAAAGGTTTTACTGTGTCCTAAACATCAAAAGTCAAAGGTCAGGATCATATGAACGACAATAATCGAAGTAAGCGTAGCTGTGTTTTGTCTTTTATTAGGGCTTTTCGACTTTTGTCGAAAAGACCTATTGTTATCGTCTTTTTAAATTATTTTTCTTAGCAATTTTTTCGTTCAGCATTTAAGGAGTAGCTTTAAAAATAGGTATTTTGTTTTGTCATCACTAAAAAGCAAATGTGAATATCTCCTGTATGTAAGGTTTTGGCCTTCCGGTTTAATTACTTCCGGTTTCTACTAAAGGAAAACTGAAATTTCTAAAGAAGCCAAAATCATTTTAATTTTTAATGTTCTAACCACCAGGTTCAAGATATAAATTTTAGAGAACTATTACTATCCAAAAGTGATCGTAGTTGATTTTTGACCATAGATACTTTTTCGAGATATAAGACTTCAAACATTTAAGAAGGGGGGATGGATTTGGCAAAAGTCGCAATAAACACTATTTCATTAATTTGAGCACTGAGCACCGATTAAGACAAATGAGTAGAACATATTCTGTACGTTTTGTATCAGTCCGAGCAGAACTTCCAGTTTTACTGGACGTTAAACATTCTCTATGGGAGTTTCTATGTTAAATTGGAATCGGCCGTGGCACATTTTTTCTTTAAATAGTCAAGATATTTTTATAATATTTTTAATTCAAATTGACTTTGATACTGTTCCGACCTCATTAGATTACCAGAATGAAATTCGGAAAAGTAAGGGATTTTTAAGGGGCCAAAATTAAAAACAGACCTCTGCCCGTAACATTTTTATTTCTTAACGAATTTTCAAATACTTTTCAGATTTGAGTTCAGCATAAAGAGTTAAGTTTAAAAATTGTGGGCCGTGGGGTCACTTTTTGACTCCTTATAGGGGTTTCAGAGACCTGAAAAACAGTACTTTTGGAGTTTTCTTGATTTTACCGCGTAATTAGAGTTATCGTTCTTTGATCGGTTGGCGAGCGTAGAAAGCGAAAGTAAGGTTTGGTCCTGCTAGCTGCGTAGCTATTCTTTTTCAACAAGCGCTCTGCTAGACTGGCAATGTATCCCATAATGCTTCCTTTCATTTTGCTGCATCGGATATCACAACAAACATGAGAGATCTCACTGTTTTAAGATATTTGACCGGGACTTTAGTACGAAACTAAAGTCGATGCTACCTGAAATGCGTAGAACTGAAATACGGGCGTGGATCCTGGAGGGTTTCGTAGACGGACTTTTATAAATTAAAGCCAAATTATGTCCAATTATATTAGCAGCAGGTACAGGGGGAAAACGTGAATCTTATTTCATGATCAGTAAAAGCACATTTTACAAAATGAATTGATTATAAATAAAATTGAAATAAATTTGATGTTTGAAAAAGAAGATGAATATCTGAAAGGAAATTAAGTAATTATAATCAGAGAAGCCAATGACGTCAAAGATCGATATATATATAAAGATATTCTTGATAAAACGTATAATTTGTTTTCCCGATAATCAGTAAAGGAATTTTAGGCACTTCTGAATTTCTTTTACTTAATGTGTTTTTTTTTAGCCGATAAAATGTATATCTTTTAGGTAAATGAAACAATGACCACTAAACTTTCCAGAAAGTTTCTATGGAGTCTCTAGTAAAGTATTCTGAAAAATTTGTGTTAATACGATGTCTGGTTTAGAGTTTAGATAAAAAATCTACGTTGTCGTTGCGCAGGGAAAAAAGGGGAGAGGAACGTAAAGAAAATAGATATTACACAAATCCTAGCTTACTAAAGGTTTTACTGTGTCCTAAACATCAAAAGTCAAAGGTCAGGATCATATGAACGACAATAATCGAAGTAAGCGTAGCTGTGTTTTGTCTTTTATTAGGGCTTTTCGACTTTTGTCGAAAAGACCTATTGTTATCGTCTTTTTAAATTATTTTTCTTAGCAATTTTTTCGTTCAGCATTTAAGGAGTAGCTTTAAAAATAGGTATTTTGTTTTGTCATCACTAAAAAGCAAATGTGAATATCTCCTGTATGTAAGGTTTTGGCCTTCCGGTTTAATTACTTCCGGTTTCTACTAAAGGAAAACTGAAATTTCTAAAGAAGCCAAAATCATTTTAATTTTTAATGTTCTAACCACCAGGTTCAAGATATAAATTTTAGAGAACTATTACTATCCAAAAGTGATCGTAGTTGATTTTTGACCATAGATACTTTTTCGAGATATAAGACTTCAAACATTTAAGAAGGGGGGATGGATTTGGCAAAAGTCGCAATAAACACTATTTCATTAATTTGAGCACTGAGCACCGATTAAGACAAATGAGTAGAACATATTCTGTACGTTTTGTATCAGTCCGAGCAGAACTTCCAGTTTTACTGGACGTTAAACATTCTCTATGGGAGTTTCTATGTTAAATTGGAATCGGCCGTGGCACATTTTTTCTTTAAATAGTCAAGATATTTTTATAATATTTTTAATTCAAATTGACTTTGATACTGTTCCGACCTCATTAGATTACCAGAATGAAATTCGGAAAAGTAAGGGATTTTTAAGGGGCCAAAATTAAAAACAGACCTCTGCCCGTAACATTTTTATTTCTTAACGAATTTTCAAATACTTTTCAGATTTGAGTTCAGCATAAAGAGTTAAGTTTAAAAATTGTGGGCCGTGGGGTCACTTTTTGACTCCTTATAGGGGTTTCAGAGACCTGAAAAACAGTACTTTTGGAGTTTTCTTGATTTTACCGCGTAATTAGAGTTATCGTTCTTTGATCGGTTGGCGAGCGTAGAAAGCGAAAGTAAGGTTTGGTCCTGCTAGCTGCGTAGCTATTCTTTTTCAACAAGCGCTCTGCTAGACTGGCAATGTATCCCATAATGCTTCCTTTCATTTTGCTGCATCGGATATCACAACAAACATGAGAGATCTCACTGTTTTAAGATATTTGACCGGGACTTTAGTACGAAACTAAAGTCGATGCTACCTGAAATGCGTAGAACTGAAATACGGGCGTGGATCCTGGAGGGTTTCGTAGACGGACTTTTATAAATTAAAGCCAAATTATGTCCAATTATATTAGCAGCAGGTACAGGGGGAAAACGTGAATCTTATTTCATGATCAGTAAAAGCACATTTTACAAAATGAATTGATTATAAATAAAATTGAAATAAATTTGATGTTTGAAAAAGAAGATGAATATCTGAAAGGAAATTAAGTAATTATAATCAGAGAAGCCAATGACGTCAAAGATCGATATATATATAAAGATATTCTTGATAAAACGTATAATTTGTTTTCCCGATAATCAGTAAAGGAATTTTAGGCACTTCTGAATTTCTTTTACTTAATGTGTTTTTTTTTAGCCGATAAAATGTATATCTTTTAGGTAAATGAAACAATGACCACTAAACTTTCCAGAAAAAGTTTCTGAAAAATTTGGACAAATGTAAATTCAGTGCTTCTATCCCACAAGTTGACATGGGATGGTATCGGATAGGATTCAGGATTGAGGATTTCCCATAGAAACATTTAAAAGTTAATCCAATCTTATCATGTCCTACAACCAATCAAATTCCATCATATTTCAGAATAAATTACGAAAAAGAAATGCGATATAAAATGTTTACAAAATAACTATTTAAAAAATTAGAATAGAAAATGAAACATTCTTTTTTTTAAACACAGATTTACATTATAAACTTCGAGTAATACGGCGTACGATCTAACCGTGAACGATCACCGGAAGAATTTGACGAAGAGTCCAGACATCGAAAGAACGTATTTCTTCAGCTTGTTTGGATGATTTAACGGATTCTTACTTGTGTAAAAGTGTATTAATTGTTTGGATAATTCAACAGGAACCGTCAACAGCGGACTTGAATACCGGTAGATGATGTGCAAGAACATGTAAGTATACTACACACTGTCAACTGTACAGTGTGTAGCATTTTTACACATATTTCTCCCTTTTAACAATATTCTAATGACTTTAACTAGTAACATTTTACTCCATTTAATATAAACAAAAATTGTGTGCGGAAAAAAGAAGTAGTGTAGGTAGAAGGGGGATAAATATTTACAAATACTCTGTCACATGATTCAATCAGCTATCAATGAGCTCTTAGACTAAAACAATTATATGTATCATGCCTTAATCAGTTTGTTACTATTATCATTTCCCTAGTAAGGTTAGAAAATAGTTTCTTTCATTTCAGTGCAATTTATTATAAATGAATGTAGAATCATTATGACCATTTCTAATGTAACTGTTTAAATGTTTGATAAGCTCATCAAGCACTGCACATACATTGTATGTATGATGTTTGTGAGTTATGAAAGTTAATCTTTTAAAATTCATTATTACAGAGTATGGTTTTGCATGCACTCATACGTCATCGCTGTATAAAGGATGTTAATCTAAGAAGTATGTATGATTTGATTTTTTACCATGTATTTTTGCATGGTCATTAAAATACATAAACATCATTATCTGAGTTGAGATGACATGTAGATTTTCAGAACAAGTGATTTTTTTAGCTCACCTGAGCCGAAGGCTCAAGTGAGCTTTTCTGATCACATTTTGTCCGTCGTCCGTCCGTCCGTCAGTCTGTCTGTCTGTCTGTCCGTGTTTACGAGAGTGCATTTATTGGGTATTTTTCATGCCAAGATTGTACTTATTGGGTACTTTTTGCTTATTGGGTATACCCAATAAGAAGTGTCGCTGAATATGCTTAAAACACCCTAATTGGGTATTTGCAGGTTAGTACCCAACAAAACTTGGACACGACGATTTGTCCAAAAAAGTGTCCAAAAAAGTTGCTTTCACGGACGCACCGTGTTTTGTTGTTTCAGTTTTACATTCGGAACTCTAAATTTTCGAGAGTTCCGAAAATCAACTTCCGTTGATCCTGATCATAACAACGTTTGTTTTCATGGAAAAAAAATATGGCGACTAAGAAACACTTAATGTCAACAAGATTTTCTGATTGACAAGAGAAAAGGTAAGTTAATTCGATTAATATTTATACATTGCTGGGTTCTTGTTTAAGGAAAATAGATTTTAATGTAATTTTGAAAACAATTGTGCACAAAATTAAAATAGATATATCGGAACAATTAATCCTAAGTTGTACTTGTTTGTATATTGAATTTTCTCTGTCTTTTTAACTGTCTTGAGGGCGAGAAGTATTTAATAAATGATCGTATATTGTTAGATAATCTTTAATAGATAGAAAGTGTTTATTATTTAATTTTATATCATAACCAACTAAGTATGTTCTGACAATGTATATTGGAAAGGGAAATGAAAATTTTAACAATCGTGTATTCATAAATCAGCTGTAAATTATCGGTTCATGTAGATAGTATTACAATCGCAAAGTGAGCTGAGATGATGATAAATGGGATAATTGACAACAACTAAATAATTGTATGTAAGTTTATCTCATCTGATATGTAATTAAGAGATTCATTGTATTACTGAAAAACTTTCAGTCAAAACTGTGCTTCTTTCTGTCTTTGATTTTGACTGAGTGTCTGCTTTATTTTGATTTTTTTTTTAAATTATTGTTTTTGTCATTTGTTTTAATTAATTTAAAACAATACTGAAATTGATATAGGGCTACTATAACTATTTCACATGATGGGTGTGTAATTAGCATCGCGCTACACCCGGGGCTTCCATTTTTGAGGATGGGGCTAGTGGTTTTCTGCACTGAGGAATCCCTTTGGGCTATTAGGAATTTTAAAATACACATGTAATACATGAAAAGCACCACCGGTATTTTCACTCTTTTTTGCTATTAAATTCTCTAATATTGAAATATTCCAGACAGCATGCTCATATTATCCATAAATCTCGACAACTGCATCCATTTTGCAGTACTACAAGACTTAATTACTTAAAACAATCTTTTATTTCCTAATTTGAATTCCCCCCTTTCCTTTGTTTAATAAAGCAATATTTGCTTGTACATATATGCCTCACAGATATCTCATTATTAAATTATATACATTCACTCAATCAGCTCAATGATAAACTTGTGTCATGCAATTATGTAGCGTTTTTTTAAGCCATATATGGCGTAACTGAGAAAATATATTTTTGAAAAATACAAAATTAAGTAAAGAAATATAGTTAATTCATTTAAATTAAAGCTTTTCATACAATTCGGAGCACGGAGAACACCTCGTTTTATCTAATAATACGATTTTATCTACTCTGTAATGTGTTATTTAAATCTTTTGTATTTTCTTCCAAGTCGGAGAAAATTCCAAGAATCCAAATTAAATTTTGATATCTTTATAACGCAATTGACTTAGATTTTGTAATGTACGGAAAATTTCTATCTTTATCATGTTTATATAAAGTAATGATACAAATAATAAGTTCTTATAATTTTAGTCTAATAATTTTCATTGTACATACGCCATATATGGCTTTAAATGATTCAAGAGGAAAACAAAATGATTTTTGCTTCGTTTTAATTTTTTAAAATCATTAATTTATATATGATGAAATTTTACTAGCGAAAATTAAATTAAACATTAATTTTAAAAAGAATCATATGTAGTTAATTCCCAGGGGCCCGTTTCATCAAAGGTCGTACGCCCAGTCGTAGCGCTACGCCGGCGTAAAGTCGGGACTAGCACGAATATTAGCATTTCATTAAAGAGTGTATCGTTACGCCTGACTAAATTTAGGCCAAAATTTTACGTCTACTCATGGGTAGGCGTAAGTTAAGGCGTAAAGTTAAAATAAGGCCTTTTTATTAATTTTAGCGAGTTCTAAAGAAAAAGTAAGGTTCTAAGAAGAATTCAAAATACAAAAAATGCATTATTTATTTATACATATTATGAAGCGGGGGGTGGTTGTTACAGCTACTTGGGGACGTAGTTGATTTGAGTAATAACGTACTCAATTAATATTTTGATAAATTTCTGCTGAGAAGAAAAGATGGTCTTATTAGAGATTTCTTACGTTCTGACAATGCCTTCAAACACATTTGGTTGTGGTATTGTATGTCTAAGGTATTGTAGATCAATTTACAAATATAACTGTATATCTACACCCCGCTTGAAAATCTCCCGAATTTGCAGATTAATTAACATTGAATGTACAGATTACTTAGTTAAGGACGAAAGTAAAATATTTTCCTAGGTATCTGGGACAAGTGATGTTCCCGGTGAATTATAGACCCCAACCCAGGAAAGGGGGTTGGGGTCTCATAGACAATAAGAGATTTTTGAAAGTGGTAATAAATTATTGCTTTTATAATATCGATGTAAGATGGTGATAATTACACAGTTAAGTTCAAGAATAAATTATTCCTAATTTTGTTTTCTCAGACAAACATTGATGCAGAAGACATCTTTAATTTTCATAATTTTGTTTAAAAGAGCAAATCTTACATAGTATAAGATAATCTGAGCGCATATAAAGCAGATATATAAGATGAAAATATACATCTTTTTGATTTCCTGCATTACTTACATTTTAATGAAAACAAAATAAAGAGTAGCTGTAACTAAATTTTAAAGACAGAGACCACACAAGCAGAGAATTTTTGTAAGAATATCTTTGTAGTCATTTTTCCAAACCTCTCTCTCTCTCTCTCTCTCTCTCTGCGTACTTTTAAAACGATACATCGCATTTAATCTGCAGATAGTAAAGAATTTTTTTCTATAACTGAACAATTATGTATCAATTGAATTGACAAAAAATTAATAAATACAGAGAGGATTATCTTACATATACCATAGTAGTAAACTTGTAAAATTTATTTCTTGACTCAAAATGTGTTCATATGTAAACCGTTTGCATTTTGTTTTCATTATTTTTGCTTGCATATACATTTTTTATTAAAATTTTTAAATCGTATTCTGTCTCCAACTTGATTATTAGTATTTGTCAGTAGAATCAGTATTTATCGAATCATGAAATTTATTATCAAAGGCGAAGTTATTAACCTGTATCAATTTCGGGAAGAGGGGGTATGGCTGTAATTAAATTTCCAAAAATCATGTCTCTTACATAACACTATAAACCCATGCATGTTTCAATTAGTGCAAGTATTAATTTATCTATAACTTGTGTTATTCTGTACTTTGACGTGCTACGGAATTTATACATGTTTGTACGCTTTGGACAATGTTTATGTTTTTGCGCCAGCGCAATGCAACGTTGTCAAGGACTTAGTTCTGTGACTAAGCGTATATTTTACGACTAGACTTACGCCACTTGGTAAAACGCAAATTACGCTAGACAAATTTTGGCGTAATCCCCGGAAGTACGCCTAAGTTAAGGCTTAACTTTACGACTTTTGATGAAACGGACCCCTGACTTTTTTTCACGATGAACTTTTTTTCAATGTTACTTTTTAATTTTTGCCTCTATATTTGGGCTTGTCACTTTTTACTCGGGGATAGTAACTTTATTGCCACAAAGCAGTGGATTAGTACTTGATTTCCTTTATTGCACAGCGATGACTATGATTTAATAGCACAAAAAGCTAATGGGTTTACGTATGTGAATTTATATGATTAATGCTTACTTGTGATTTTAGGATAACTGGAGATAATGATTCTTTTTTTTGCATTTATATTACATAAATATCTTTCTTGGTATTATGTTACAATAAATTGGTTTAGATTTTTTTTTATAAAAGTAATCAATAATTACAATGGAAATTAAAACCATAATCATGTTCATTGAGGATTTTCAATATGTAACAGGTTAAACAGGAACTTCAATTGTAAACATTGCAGAGAACACACCCATGAGAAGATGACCCTCAGAAATAGGACAATTGTAAGTAATCAGTAAAATGAACAGGAATACTTCATACCAACCATAAGATTTTTAGAGACATTTTCGCTTCTTAAATTAGAAGAGAAAACTTGTACATACTACATAACTATACTAGGCAACCAACTTTTAACTGCAGGAAAGCTTTTGGTATGTGCAATACAGCTACATTAAACCTCTTTAGTATTCATGTTAAGTTTGAGAAAGTACCTAAGTATTTTTTCTAGTGTTTGCCAACATTTTTATGCACACTGTTTGCTTGTTTGTACTATCATTATATTTTAAATTCTTCAGATGCCCTTTACCTTTGCCAGTTTAGAATCATTTGTTTTAAGGGCATTTGAGGTTTGGTTCTAGAACTTAATTAATTGTAAAGTAAATACTGGGGTACTATACGGTCATAGGTTATGTTAATACATGTATAACATTTTGTTCTGATAGAGGTGGCATACAGGAAAAGAAACAATACTAGATATCACTTCAAAGGAATAAAACAGCTTCATCTTGTAGGTGTATTTTATTTAAGGATCACTACTTCATGTCTGATGTGCTGAAAGTTATTCATAATCTGTTTGACTGTAATTTTTCATATTTTCAACTTCTATCCAGCTTAGTCA